GAAAAAGCGTTCAATAACCAAAGTAAATTAATTTTATGCCTACAGTAAGGTGAAAAATCTAGGCTCACCATTCACCTACAATATATCAGAAGAAGGCACTAAATAATTCAAATTATTTAAGTAATCTCAGTTTAAAAATTATAATGGATATTCCTTGCCAGTTCCTTGTAAATTCAAAACAGTTTTCAATATAAGTGCTATGGCATCTTCCCTCTCTATTTAGGGGCTTCACTCTGGCAGTATCTAGCAGTTTAACAGAGAAAGGCAGACATTGTCAATCCACACTGGTTTCAAATTGGCTGTTGTTAGTAAGTGAAAATGGTGTCTCTTTGTTGTGTAGTCTCTTATAAACAGAACTAATGGAGCTAGTAATAGAGCTTTCAAGGTCAATTCTCAATTCCCTTGCATTTTAATTTAAAGGGACTTCCACTTCCTTTAATTACAATTATAACACTCTTCACTAATAGGATGTTATTCTTACCCCATTCTTTAACATGTCTCTTTCTCTACTTGTATAACCATATTCTATAGCTGCTTATGTCTCCAAAACACAAATTCACAATGAATTCTACTATAAAGTTACATACTTATTTTCCCTACTAAAATTTAAGGTCTTAGTTAAAGTTCACCATTTTAACCGTTAGCTATGGGAAATTAGCTAATGAAACTTTCTTGTACAAGTCATTGCCAAGTAAATAGAGTCATTTGTCCTTGCTGGGCAATGTACAAAAGCTAAGTACTTATTAAAACAGTTTCTAAAATCAATGCTGTGATGAAATCCACAACTAATAGATTGATAGATATCCCATTCCAATGAAAAGATCTGATGTATTAGAATAAAACTTCAGAACAAAGCAGGGTTAAAAGTTTAAATGATGCTTAAGCAACGCAATGATAATAAGCAAACTGTAGAGGAAATTATCACTAATATAAATCACTTCATAAACACATATACATGTGGAAGCAGAAAACTAATTCAGTAAAAGGTTGTATCACATATTCAGGAACAGTCCTGTATTTTATTCGTAGAGAGTACTCTGTTTATGTTAAATTGTACAGTTCCAGCAAAGAACTTACCTGAGTTCTATGGTATGCTTCCTTGTAAGTCTTCCAAAGACTGATGTAAGACCCAAACCTACTAAACTACTGGAAGAAAACATATATAGGAAACATTTCAAAATACTTGTCTGAGCAGTGGTTTTATTTATTTATTTTTCACATAAACTCAGAAGCACAGAAAATAATGGTGAAATTTTACAAATGGGATAATATAGTAGTCCAAAATTTCTGCACAACAACAACAAAAACCTACTGAGCTAAAGGGGAAAAACTATGTGTGAATCACCCCAGAATATCAAAAGAACTCAGAAGACCTCAACAAGAAAGAAACTATTAAAATTAGAAAGGACAAATTACCTGAATGACATTTGTAACAATATGTGTAAATCAGGCATAGGCAAAATTAAAACCACAATGAGTATTTTGAATGTTGACTTCAAACAATAATACCAATTAAAAAGCAAATGTTTGTGAAGATGATAAAAAGGAACATTCCACTATGCTATTTTAAGTCAGTGCAACCATCATGGGAACAATATCTTCATACATTACAAACAGAATTACTTACCATAGGGTCCTATATCCTAATTAATAGTATATATTCAGATTTGTCAGTCTGCAAGCATGATCAATACTCCCACATTTATTGCAGTACTATTTGTAATAACTAACACAAAGAGTCAAACTAAATGCTCCTCAGTGGATGAAATTGCTCATAGTTGACTATTATTAACATAAAAAGAAAAATTAAATACAGTCACATTGTTTACCACAGTGGAGCCTGGGGTGATATAATGTGAAGTGAAATAAGGTGTGAAAAGGCAAATATCTTATAATCTCAATTATTTGCAAAAATATATTGAAAAGTGTGTCTGCAGGAGGAGGAGTTTGCAATTAGATAGGAGAAATAAATTCTAATGTTCAACAGCACAGTGTGGGGACTAATCTGGCAGCAGTGATTATAAATATTCCACTAAGTGTTAGAGATCTTAGTCCAGATGGGTTTGATGATCCGGGATGGATGTGTGAAGTCAGCTCCAAGAAGAGAATGTGACTACCTGTTGTTAAACAAGTGGCCCCGGATAGCTAGAGACATTTTTTATTTATATAGTTTTAATGGTTTGTATGAACAGTTTTATAACCAGTTTTCACTTTTTAAGGTTTTAAAAATGGTTACAATAATTACCAACTTATTTCTTGTCTCTTTTTCCTTTTGTCTGTTAACTCTCATTGCATTTTCAATGTTTATCTTCATCGTGACAAACATAAGCAGTTTTGCAAGCTACAAAGGGACTTTTTTTAACTAGGCACACCTACAGGTGAAAGAGTGTGCCCAGTTGGCAGCACATGTGGTTACAGCATCATGTAGGATGAGAGACAGTTTTGTCTCTTGTGGTTATTATTTATACCTGTGCCGTATATTGGTTCGGGTTTTCATGATCTATTCACCAGTCAGAGCCACATCGATCTATTTTATGTTCTGTATTGTTTTTATTTTATTAATTTTTTTATTCATTTTCACACCAATCAAAGATCCCTGCACTCAGATTGGTGTCTACCCTAATTGTCATCATAGAACCTACATCCAGTGACTGATGGAAGCAGATACTTGGCCAAGATCCTGGAGTTCAGTTGAATAGAATGAGGAAGGATTATAAGAGCAAGGGGATGTCAGAATCATGATGGGAAAAACCACAGAAATAGCTGACCCAAGCTAATGGAGACTTACTCTTAACAGTTGGCAATGTTTATCCCTTGTTCTTATGTCTATCATCTTTAACTTTTGGGGGTATTGGCACAGCTATTAGAGATGAGGGAACTGTGAGTTTTTATGATTCTGTTTCATTCCTTGTTCCTCAAAGGTTCCCATCAACTCCTGACAGCTTCTATGTAATAGCATTTCTTTAATGCTCTTATGGTTAAAATCATTCTTTCCAGGACAATTATGTAAATCTGTATCATTAAACTTCATGACCTACTGTGCCTCTTTCAGGCCAGCGGTATGGCTAACATAGTGAAAGTAAGGAGAGCAAGTAACACACACACTCGCAGGGTCATGCAAGAATCATGCAGCAAACTGTCCACAGGTCTTTGCCAAGTGGGTCAAGGTCTCCAGGGGCCTTGACACAGGAGAGCTGTTTATGTTATTCTTATTCTCAGGCATTGTTCCTCAAGGAAGTCACATGGCTCGAACCACCTAAGGAAAATGGTAGATGTTTAAGGTGTTAGCCATGCTGATTGCCTTGATCAGACAGTTCTAGTTGTTGACATATGGTGGAATGTCAGAGTTCACTCAGTAATAGGCACAGCTCTTACTTGTTGGCCTGCTTTCTATTTGTCTTTGTATTCTCAGGATGCTCCTTACTTGATTCCCTCATCAGATGCACACTTAAATATTTTTATCTAACATTTCAAAGTTCTTCTATCAACAAGTGTAACAGACTGTCTAATCCTCAGGTTAAAATAGAAAGATATATTTTTGTAAAAATCAAAGAATTCAGGAAAAAATACTCCAGGAGTCATGTTCACAACAGGTAACTATGTCCTTATTTAAATCAGAACTGTTCTAGGACACAGATCTTTCAACATTTATTGAGAATTTACAATTGATCCTAAGGTTCATGGCAGGATTGGGATGAGAAGAATAGCTATAGCAGTTGCTAATATATCACAGGTGTTGCAGGTACACCAAGACATTTGTTGACATTGCTTCTTTTTAAAGTAGCTCCAAACACAGTCAGTCATTCGTTCAGTTTTTCTACAATATCTTGTAAACCTTTTACTATATTTCACAGGATTTAAGGAAAAATTAAAAATTATGGTTCTAAATAAGGACTTGATTAGAATTAAATCAGTTAATTATACATATAAAATAAACAAATATTTTTTCTGTATTATTCATAATTCTTGTAAATGTAAATGTATTAAATGATATACACAATATTTAGAAGATATTAAATATATTACTTTCTTAAAAAGAATATTCACAAACTTCTGGGCTAGTGTTTTTGTTTTTTGATTTTTTTGGTAGATTCAAAAGAGCTTTTAGTCTAGTCCAGATAGCTACATTGTAGTGATGCATTCTGTCTCAGTCCCAAGAAGATTCCATATACCTATAGTATTTTATTTAGTTTACTGATTATTGAGAATATTATATAATTTCATCATTCCTTCATTGCTTTTTCCTCTCTGCAAACCTTCCTATATACCAATGTTTACTCCTTTTCAAATTCATGTCCTATTTGGTGTGTGTGTGTGTGTGTGTGTGTGTGTGTGTGTGTGTATTTATAGAATCTCTCTTTAGATAGATTTTCTAAATATATAAATACAACCTGTCCAGTCTACAAAATGTTTTCTGCACTCAAGTTTCCAAGGCTGATTATTTTCTTTGGTAACCATTTGCTGCTGTGCTGGGGTGGATTATGTCCCCCTCTCTCATCTTCTCCTTGGTTGTCTGTAGTTGTTTCTATAAGGGCTGTGGCCTCCTGCCCACCCCATCCATGAAACACATCTATTGTCATCCTTGCTCAGTTCCTATTTAGGGAGTCAAGTCGGTGAGGCTTCATGGTTGTAGCCTCTGACATTTTTAGGAGACATAATCTCACAACAAACTCCCTGGTTCTTACAATCTTTCTGCCTTCTGTTCTACGATCCCCCAGCCTAAGGTGTAGGAGCTGTGCTGTAGAATTAATCACTGGGATTGAGCTTTGCAGCACTGCATTTTGGTTGGTTGTGATTTTCTATAATGGTCTCCATCTGCTGCAAACCTGCAATGGCAAATTTACTAACTCAGCACAATTCCTAACTACATTCTAAATATGTATCCCTATGTCCACATGAGAGGGTGTCCTTATCCTGCATCGAGAAAACTTCTCCTTGTGACAGAGTAGACCATTAAAATAAAACCACAAAGTATTAAAGGTTTGTTTGCATTTTTATTCTTACTTATTTTTATATCTTGTGTGAAGAATTATATTTAGATTAGAAAGGAAAAAACACAAAATGACAACCATGAAACTCAAAAGAAAGTACAAACTGGAAAATATCTCCTAATACAATTGCTCTCCATTTAGAAATAATGGCATCCATATTAGCGGAGGACATCTGAAGGTACACACCAAGTGTAGCCTTGGAGCAAGACGTACTGTCATTGCGTACTTTGGAAGCAGTGCCCGTGAAAAGAAAAGTGTGGCAAAAGCATTCACAGAAGATATTCGGATATTCTGTTCATTGCATGGACATCAGCAGCAGTTTCCTTCCACTCCTGAAACAAGTTGAAGAGAGAGTGATTTAAAAATTAATATCAACTTTTGTATTCCTTGACTTATTAATAAGGTATAAGACAAATAATTCATTTTGCTCTTCTTTGGTATCTATTCGCTTTTTATATAAATTAAATAAAATTTCAATTTCCTTTTTTCTCAGATAAAGCAATGTGAGGACTGAAGAAGTATATATAATTCACATTCTTCTCAGAAAGTGTAAATTATGATGTGCATATGTTTAATTTTGTATGACTTTACAATTTTTTTTTTTGGTTTTTTGAGAGAGGGATTCTCTGTGTAGTTTTGGTGCCTGTCCTCAATCTCACTCTGTAGACCAGGCTGGCCTCAGACTCACAGAGATCCGCCTGGCTCTGCCTCCCAAGTGCTGGGATTAAAGGCATGCGTTGCTGCCACCCAGCCTACAATATCTTAATAATTCCAGTCCAGAAATAATATTTTAAATATCCCTCATTTTACAAGTGTATCATTCTAAAATTTTAAATGCCCTCTTAACATTTTTCAGAATCATTGAAAATTGCCTCTAATTTGCAAAATTTGTTTTATTTCGCTAAGTTACTACTCTCAACTTGCATCTGAAACAATCCTTTCTATTGAAGTGAAAGATCACATTGATGGCAGAATTTTTTTGAAAAGAATGTGTAAAAAGCTTTCAAATTATTTTATCCTATTAAACTTGACCTTGAGTAACATACAATATAAAGAAAAAGTAAAACAATGGGCCCAGAGGTTAATAATTAATTGTGTTCTATACTTAAAAGGCTAGGAGTAAATAATATGAAATCAGTTAATTAGGTGGCAACATTTGGAAGTAGTTTTAGAATAATGAACAGAGGTCAGTGTCTTGGAATGTTAAACATCTTAAATTATTGGGATTCCCAGATGTACACCAGATGCTGGTCTGAGAAAAATACATGCAGTGTGTTTTCCTTGTAGTGCCCTCTCCAGTCTTTCTAGCTCTGATAATAGACCTGGGTGTATTTCTACACATTTCAAAGTAATTTGCCATAATAAATATTTTCCAACTGAGAAATTTAGAACATTATATATGTATTAATACATTCTTAACCATATATTATAATGATTGACAGATGAATTTGAATTTATGTATTTGGATACACCTGTTATTTAGGAATTTAAACTTAAGTCAAGTTAGAATTGATTATGGAAGATAGCATAGAGCAAATATAAGTTATGATATTAATAAAGGTATATAACATTACTTTAGGAGACTTTTTAAGAATAAGTGTTCACATAAGTAATCTTTGATAGCTGTCTACAGAGTATGAATTTCTCTATGGCACTAAAATATTCCATTTCCTCTCAGACACTTGCTATAAATGTGCATGACAACTGCTTTCATGCAGGTGAACAAAAGAATAACATTTTAATCCTCACACTAAAAGAAGAATTGGTCACAGAGAGAAGTGATTTCAATTATATCATAAAAAATAAAAAGGGAAAGAAAATTGTACTACTTACAGCGTGGTCACTTCCTACACGATGGCATTTCTTTCTGTTCAACATACATCTTTCTGAAAAGGTAACATAATGTGATTGACAAGCTCTGGCACTTTACATATTCTTAAAGACCTCTGGATGCTAAGAGGAGACCTACACTATTGATCGCTTTGCAGAGGAGTAATTCTCTATCTTTAAGGGGCTTGTTATTATAGATAGCATGAAAAGAAGATGACATATTTATTTTTCCTCTTTGAAAAACCCTTGCTCAGACAGTGTATACTAGGGAAACTGAAATAGTATATTCAAAATCCACCAAAATACATATAAAGCCAAGATATATTGTCTCTTCTGCTGTTCTCAAAAACACATTTAATTAGGTCCTTGTAAGTAACACTATCATGTTCTGGAGAGAATGACATATAGGAGCATTAGATTTGGGGGGAATGTATTTTTCTTATTTTCTACTATACTGAATAACATTGTTTTTACTTAATTCTACCTGAAGTTAAAAAAATGTCTAATCCTTAAATATGAAAACATAATGTCTTTATTTTAAACATAAAATATTTTACGCTTTAATGTATACATAAAAATTGTCAATAAGTACCCATTCTTACTTAACAGGCCAAGGTCACCAAATTCAGCTATGAGGAATGAAACCAGGCTCCAATTGGAGGGGCCATAGCATGATTGAGGCTGTGACGATTTTATTGACAGCAATCAGACTGTTCATTCTTTTATCAGAAACAGAATATTATGGCAGTTGCTGGGATCAATACAGGTGCATTTTCCAGGCTACAATAAAGTTTGGAAGCCATACAGGGTACACAAGATTAATGTCTAAGACCAAGTGTCCTGTCAAGTTTCCATGCTTCCTTGACTACTAAGGGAACATACAGAGAAAAACACAGGTGCCTGAATACTTCACTGCTTGAGGGAGTGCATCCATCTCTCAGGAACTAGAAGGCACATTATGTCCCAGGAGTCATTGACTCTAACCTGAAAAACCTATTACACATCCTCTCAAGAAAGCTAGGCCAGACCAACTGCATGGTTCCCTGCACATTTTAATATTAAACTGAAACAATCTAATTAAATTGAGCTTTAGCCATTTAAAGAATTAAAAATCATCCTGAAGTATGTAAATTCTTTATTGAATACTAAATTACTTAGATGATTTAATGTAAAATTGACACTGTACAAAGCTAATGACACTAAATATTTATGTACAATTAATAAGTAATGATAGCCAGGTGGTGGTGGCACACACCTTTAATTCCAGCACTCGGGAGGCAGAGCCAAGCAAATCTCTGTGAGTTCAAGGCCAGCCTGGTCTACAGAGTGAGATCCAGTACAGGCACCAAAAGTACACAGAGAAACCCTGTCTCTAAAAACCAAAATAATAATAATAATAATAATAATAATAATATCTGAAAATTCAAAATCTACACTATATCTAGTCAAATGTTTATAATCTGCATCATTGTCAACCTCATTTTCTAAAAATAATTTGCAGTTTTCATATTAAATTTGTGTTCTCAAATAGTTGTTTAGGGAGTCATTTTAAATTATTTTCTTATTTTTCTTAGATGAGATAAGATAATGTTCATAAAATTATGACTGTAATGTCCTCAGTATTCGCAAAATTTTTGTAATTATTTTATATATCAATCATATTTAATCCCCTGAATACAACTATGGTCATGACATTAGATTCAACTTTAATATTTGCATTTCCAGAGCATGTATCACAATATAGAACACAAGTTTCACATGAAGAAATATAACATATTGTATATTACATATTATATCTAATAAATACACAAAATTGTTGAGAAATTAAAGTCCCTCACTTGAGATCAGTTTTTGCATGAGAAGCAAGTCTACACATTCTAGTGAGAAGTGTGGTCATGAACTGATTATAAGTGGGCCAGATTCAAGAGACTTCCCCCTGTTACCGATGACAGATCTCACTATCAACATTGTACAGAATGAAAGCAGACAAGAATAGGAGATAAAGAATCACAATAGAAAAGTAAATGTGACAATATACTTCTTTGCAGATGATATGATTTTTTACATAGAAGACTCTACCAGAAAGCATCTAAAATTAGTAAATATTTTTGGTAAAGTGATAGCAGACAAATTTACCATACTAGCTCCTATAACATTCTTATATCAGTAGTCATTATTATAAGAACTAAGAATATTAATTCTGAGTGAAAAGATAAAATCAAATGTAAAATTAATATACTTAAAATAGTTGACCTGAAAATATATAAGATGGCTGTTTTCGTTAGTTTTTTTTTTTTTTTTTCAACTTAACACAATCTAATTTCATTTGGGAAGCAGGAACAGCAACTGAAAGATGTTTCCATCTGATTCTCAAGTAGGAGAGTCGGAGGGACATTTTCTTAATAAATAATGAACATGGGAAGTCACAACCTATTGTAAATGGTGTCACTCTTGGGCATTTGGCTTTTGGTTACATAAAAAAGCAAGTTGAGTGTGTCATGGAGGGCATGGCAATTGGCAGTGTTCCTGTATAGTTTTATTTTATTCCCTGACTCCAGGTTCCTACCTTGAGTTTCTGCCCTGTATTCCCTTCCTAGGAGAAAGTTAGCTATAAAATGAGATTAAGGTTTTCCCCCTCCCTCAAGTTGTTTCTAGACATGATGTTTATCACAACAACAGAAAGCCAAATAAGACACCTGTTTAAAGAAAATATTTCTTTGTAGTATTACATTTTAATGGAAATATTAATTTGCAGTCTTACACATATAAAAAAAAATATTGTGTTTAAACACTTTGCAACAATCCCCCAAGAATATTTCAATGTTTTAAAGAAAATAACCAAGTAAACTCATTTAAAAAGTTACAAGTATTAAAACTCTGTATTAATATAAAATAAAACAATTATTGTCACAGAAAACATATTTACTAAAGTAATGGCTTTCTTTCCAACTCTAAAGACATCTAGTGTGGGCTCTGCATATTGGCAATGCTATTTTGAAGTAACAGAATATTATGTAAATTTGTGGAATAACTATAGCGGAAGTAATAAGGAAGAAAGAGAAAACAAGTTAAAAGGTTGATTTTTCTAGAATAAACACATTTTGAAACCTGTCTTATGCTCATAACATATTTTATGTATTTATTAAAATCTGAGGTGTTAAGTTTAAATCTTCTATCTATAAATAGATTTGTAATGACAAATAAGTCATGCTTTTTGATAATAAACAGATCAACTGTTGACCTGCTGAAATCATGATATCATGATATGCTGATATCATGATAAAATGCATTGAAGAGCTGGGTGGTGGCAGTGCATGCCTTTAATTCCAGCACTTGGGAGTCAGAGTCAGGCAGATCTCTGAGTTTAAGGCCAGTCTGGTCTACAGAGTGAGATCCAGGACAGCCAGTCTATACAGAGAAATCCTGTCTCAAAAAAACAAAACAAAAAAAAAAGTGCATTAAAGAAATGTTTTATGTTCTTAGGAATGTCATCTTTATTAAAATGTCATCACTATTTTACCTTATGTTTTAGCACCTTGTGGGTATTCCTTGATACATATTTTTCAATCTTTTATGTTTGATTTTATTATCTTGATATCACTTTGATGGGATGGCAGAAAAGATTTATTTCAAGAAATAAATTGTAATTCCCAAATCAAGCAGGTGCCTAATGTGCAGAACTTTTCATACCAATAATATCCATAATAGTGCCTCAAAAGTTGTAAACTGAATAAAAATGAATGAGAACAATTTCTAACTCTCCAGCATGCACAACATATGTGATGTGTTTTCTGTTTTTTCTTTTTTATTAAGAAAAATTTTTCATTCGTTTTACACACAAATCAAAGATCCCCTTCTTCCCTTTTCCTGATCCCCACCCTCCCCCTCAACTCACCCCCACTCCCCTCACAAGCAGGCAAGGTCTCCCATGGGAAGGCACATCCATTAGAGGCAAGTCCAAACCCTTCCCCCTTGCCTCAAGGCTGCAAGGTGTGTCCCATCATAGGTGGTGGGCTCCTCCTATGCATGAGGGTTGGCTTCTGATTCTCCCACCAGGGGTCACTCCAAGCAGATCAAGCTACATAATTGTCTCTCCATACAAAGGGCCTAGTCCAGTCCAGTGCTTGTTCCATAGTCATTGATCTAACTTTCCTGAGTTCTCACTAGTTTGGTTTGGTCGTCTCTGCAGGTTTCCCCATCATGATCGTGATGCACTTGCTCATAGAATCCGCCCCCCCCCCCCAATGGACTCCTGGAGCTCTGCCTGGTGTTTGGCTGTGGATCTCTGCATCTGCCTCCATCAGTCATTGGAAAAAAGTTCTGTGATGCAGATTAACCGATCTGATCACTGGGGTAAGCCAGTTCAGTTCAGGCACCCTCTCCACTATTTCTAGTAGTTCAAGCTGGGATCATCCTTGGAGATTCCTGGCAACTTCCCTAGCACTGGGTTTCTCTCTCTCCCCATGATATATCCGTCCATCATGGTATCTCTCTCATTGCTTTCCCACTCCATCCCACAAAATAACAGCCTACAGAATAGGAAAAGATTTTCACCAACCCCACATCTGACAGAGGGCTGATATCCAAAATATATAAAGAACTCAAGAAACTAGACATCAAAATAACAAACAATCCAATTAAAAAATGGACTATAGAGCTAAACAGAAAATTCTCAAAGGAAGAATTTCAAATGGCCAAAAGACATTTAGGGAATTTCTCAGCTACCTTAGTCACCAGGGAGATGCAAATCAAAAAAAAAAAAAAAACCCTCTGAGATACCATCTTACACCTGTCAGAATGACTAAGATCAAAAGCACTGAAGACAGCTTATGTTGGAGAGGATGTGGAGCAAGGAGAAGACTCCTTCATTGTTGGTGGGAGTGCAAATTTGTGCAGCCACTTTGGAGATCAGTATGGCAGTTTCTCAGAAAATTGGGAATCAATCTACCTCAAGACCCAGCTATACAACTCTTAGGCATATACCCAAGGAATTCTCAGCCATACTACAAGAACACATGCTCAGCTATGTTCAGAGCAGCATTATTCATAGTATCCA